ACCCACAAACACCCACCACCACAAACCCACCACAACACCCACAACACACCCCCCAACACCACACCCACACCCCACCAAACAACCACACCAACCACCCCACACCACCCACACACCACACCACCCACAACCACACCAACACCACAACCCACCAACCCCCCCACCCACCACAAACCACACCACACCCACAACCCACCACACCACCAACCCCCAACCACACACCCAACACCACCACCACACAACACCACCCCACACCCACACCCCACAACAACCACACCCCCCAAACCCACCACTACACCCACACCACCCACCACAACCCAAAAACCCCCCACACACACCACACCCACCCCCCCTCCACCCCCCACCACAAACCACACACTCACAATAACACCCAAACAAAAACACACACCCCCCCCCCCTCCCCACACACCACCAACAACACCACACCCCACTCTCTCCCCCATTTACCCCATAACAACCACAATCCAACACACCACTCATATTTTGTTACTTCATCTACCCCCCCCCCCTCCCCCCCCCACAACCCCTCCCATCTCCACTATCCTACCATCTCCACCCAATATACTCCCAATCCCCCTCCCATTCTCCACCTCCCCCCACAAGTGTAAGCACCTCACACCATCCCCAAATCCACCTTATCTCCACCCTCTACAGATTCTACCTATCCTCTTCCCACCCCCCACAACTATCCACACTCATATCCCATCAATCCCCCCCATATCCCACCCGCACACTCTTTTCCTTCCTATAGCATCGTACAACATCCTCTTCTTTCATATACATATTCTTCTCATCCTACCAATATATTCTACTCATACACTATACACCTCCCCCATATACTCACATTTCTCCTCTCGAAATCATTATCTAACACTCTTTTTTCAATACTATCTTTTCCTCATCCTTACCCCCTAATCCTCGTTCTATACTATTCAATTACAATTCTCTCACACAACCTTACCCAATTTCAAACACAACAACAACCCCACGTATGTAAATTACTAACATGAAAAATTTACCAAATTCCTTAACTCTAGTCTTTTCTGTTTTATCTCTGCGCGAATCCATCCCCCTACACAGTGTCTCCTTTCAATAATCAAAAATTTCATAACCCCCCAGTTCCCTATATCTATATTCATCATTATTACTTTATTGCCCTTCTCACGCATACTGCTCCACCCCAACCCTCGCAAATTCCCGCCAACGACAACTTTCAGACCCTCCCCTCCCACCTATAGAGTTTGTGAGATACGCCGTCGCTACGACGAGACACTGCTCCCCCCCCCTTTCCGCCCCACCCCCCCGAACAAGACAAGCCCCACTCCCACGCATCCCCCCCAGTCCAGTGTGTCATATATAGTTAGAGAGAGAGATCAACTCCAACGCGTTGTCTTAACAAGTAGGCTGCGGAGCCCTCGGTTACGTGCGTTCCCGATCAGAGGCACCGCTCGTATATGGCCGGCGCGCGCACAGGCGGCTCGCCCGGCCCATCTCCATCTTGTCCGGTGTCCGCGGTATCGGCTCAGACTTTGCGTGTTCAGAGTTTCCAATAGATATATATCCCCCCATCCACGACGTGTCTTTCTCTTCAGGCTAGCACGGATTTTTGCTCGGAGCTCTTTGCGAGTTTCATTGTGTTCGCTTCCAGCCGGAATATGCCGGCGAGCATCTATGAGTTCCAGAGTTTGTGAAGAGACCCAATGTCCATGTTGGCGATTAGACACACCACATGAGGATTTGCCTACTGCAAGTAAGGTCTGGCGAATATGAGACCAATGAGCTTCAATTGCATCCAGTGAGCGTTTATCCAACTCGCATGACAGCGTACTTTGATAGGCATTCAGAACAGCTGGCTTCGCCAGTCTGCCGGTGTCAATACGCTCACAACGTCGTCTTGGGCGTCCGCCAAAGCGCATCCGCAAGTCAGCACATACAAGTGCATGCTCAGTGTCAACACCTGTGCTCCAAATCGAGCGACAGTTCTGGATGCAGCCTCTCCAGCGGTAACAGATTGCAATGTGATCAATTTGCGTCCAAGGCTGGTGGGCGCCAAGTCACCCTCCGGCGGGTGCTGTGTCGGAAATTAGTGCTCGCGAGAAATAAGCGGGCATCTTCACACAAATGAACTAACAGCTCACCGTTATCATTACGGGAGCCTATACCATGTTGGCCGCCCAGATGCAGCTCATCTGTGGATAATTTTCCAACTTGTGCGTTCAGATCCCCGGCCAGCACTACGGTGTCCGAGCTTCTTCTGTGGCTAAGGAGCTCGTTCAGTCGGTGGTAGAAGTCGTCTTTTACCGAGTCATCGCTACAGTTTGTCGGTGCATAGGCAGCGATAACGAATAGACACCTGTTAGTCACACGCGACTTCGAAGTTTTGAACGAGCCAGCCAATCGGATCGCACACATCCGGCTACTGATTGGAATCCAATCAACCAGAGTGGCTTCATCTCGGGGACTCAGGGCAATACCAACAACGGCTTGGCCGGTGCTCGAAGCTGCATCGTCACCGGATAGGCGCAATGCGAAAGTGCTGCTAGTGTCACCTGAAGGTGATCGTAGAGTGAGCACAGAGCTCCAGTCTTGCAGGCGGGTCTCCGATAAGCAGCAGATATCGATGGAGAGGGTCTCTAATGTTCGGGCAAGTGCTGCCTGTTGACCGATCTGAAGCAGTGTGTGAACATTGAGGCATGCCAGTCTGAAGCAGGATTGAGGGCTCCAAATGGAAGCCGATGAACTGGGCTTGACCGCTTGCTTGGACATGGGGCTGTTGACAGTGCAGGAATGACGCTCCGCGTTCACATGTGAGTTGAAACTAAAAGACAAGCGACTATTGAAGCAAGGTGGGAGAGGGCCGAGAATTGGGGGGTTGAAAACAGGGGGGATAAAAGTGAAGCTGGAACGGGACGACAAGGGTGAAAAAGCGTAAGCGGGGGAATAAGAAGACGGGAAGGCTTGAGCAGTAGCATCCAAACCCCTATCCACCCTGCTCGATGCAGCAGATAGGGCACCGTTAATTGTCCTCTGCAGTGGCCAGAGCATTAAAAATTTGTTTGAAGTGCGATTCATAGTATTGCAGTGGGCAGGATACTGTCAGGTTGCCCAGGCCTAGACAGGAGAACGATTAGGGTTCTCAACCAAAGCCTTTGGTTCAAAAACCTGTCCGCAAGGCAGCGGGTTTGGCATTGGGCTACAAGGAGTCCGTTTTAAGGAATAAGGAGCCATCCTCATTCCAACCCCCAACCTGGAGTGCCAGGAGGCTGAGTTTGTCTGGCCTCTAACCATTGACCAATCTGGTATGAGTGGCTCTGAAGGTGCAAAAACGCACCACCTAGTATAGCTCAATGGATTACTGAGGCACACAAACCATCACACCACAGTAAGATCCAGCCTCATTACGATGCGTTTTCATCCCAGAACGATCACCAATTCGCACTTTTTTCGAGATTCGTGCTAGCGGGTGCTTAAGGACTATGAAGTTGCATACATCTCGCATACACAAAGGACTGTCACCTTACGTGGCCTGTCACGTTGTGTCTGTGGCCCTCTGAACATTCTGGTAAGTTTGTTTTAACTTTTCCGGAGAATCGTGGCGAAAATAATCATGAGAGTTGTCAGGTACATCCTAAAGGACGTGGACAGTTACATATGAGAGACCATGCTGTTGCTTTGTCGGAGCGAAGGTAGTACTGATCATTCAAGGCAAGTTCAACCAACCGCCAGCGTACTCATTTCCACTGCCACGAAAGCTATATTTGCTTGTATTTTTAAAAGCTGTC